TGTAAAGAGAATATATTACTGAAAGACAGGGTATCGACTAAGACTTTCCGACAGTCAGACAGATAGACAGTCTTATCACTGTATCTAACGTTGGTTAGATACAGTGATAAGACTATCTTTATTCACTGTCGCATGTGTCCTTGACAACATCTGTGTATGAATTTCTGGGTATTATAAACCTAATGTCTTCAGCAACCATTTTCAGTTAGACATATATATATATATATATATATATATATATATATATATATATATATATATGTCAGATGCGATGAGAACGAAAGTAATATATAAATTCCAACGTTCACAGCATTAATCCAAAAGTGAGCTCGATACCGATAGTAGAGCGATAATTATTCCTTTCACATACGGCTTGCCTACAAGCAGGATTTTTCATAACCATTTTCGATTCTCACCCGTCGAAGTGCAGTTGAAATGCACTGAAACCAAGTTGCATCTTTGTAGTGAGTAAAATGGTTTTGTCTATATGATAAAATTATAATAAAGGAATATATATATATATATATATATATATATATATATATATATATATATATATATAATTGACCGTAAGTGCTTATGTCAATAATCACTATGAACAGTTTCTAAATTCTTTAAGTCCCCATAAAAGAAAACACTAAGAACTTAAGAAAACCCAATAAAAACTCATCAAATTTTCCTTGTCCGTCACATACACTAAGTAACTATTCTATTTGCCATAGTAGATTGCTTTGTTGCTCAGTTGGCAAGCACGTATACCATTATTCACGAATGTAGTCTGTGAGATCGGCCTGCTAATCATTTTACCCCAAGCAAGGCAATAAAGCGACTAGGACACAAGGGGTTACTGAGTGTGAGAGACTATGATAAAAAAAAAAACACTATTAAGCAGAGAGAAAAATAAAAGAATAGGAATAAAGAAGACAGAAGTTAACAATTAACATTGCATTTAAAATTTTGAATGTCGAAGTTAACTGGAAGGCAACAAGCCGAAAGGGGGTTTTAGCAGCGAGACGTGTAAACGCAAAAATTGTTAACATATAGAAATTAGGGTTCCATTAGTTATTTCCATTGTAAGATGATGAGACCTTGCTGCCCATCTAGTAACTCGCTTAAATTCATAACGTCTAGGTACCAAAGAGGAAAGCACATCAGAGCAATTACCATGAAAGGATTTACACCGCGGCGAATTGTATCATCAGTGACGTAAAGCAGTTTTTTTTTCATTGAGCCTAGAGAGTATTTGCAGATTGCCTTTCAGAAGTTAAACTCACATTCGGGATTTCGGGAAACACGTGTTCTAATCTTTGATGCCCATAAGGTTCCTTGGTAGGCTTTCGCATAAATTACACCACATCCTGCAGATATATAAATAGCGGTAGCAAGGTATATGTTGCGGTTACTATCATATTTCGGCAGGGTGTGCGGTTACTAATTAGGTTTCGCTAGATAAGCCCAGGTAAAATGTCAAAAAGCAATCAGGTGCCGGGGATGGAAGTGTCGTACGCTGATGAATCGGCAGGCAAAAACAACAAGCCAACTTGAAAAGCTGCAAATGCACATATACCAGCTGCTGTGCAAAAGCTCCGAGAAATTTGACCGTGACAAATGACTTACAGTAAATACATTGCCTCCGCCATTTCCAACCAAGTAATCTGGACCCCAATGTGCACTGCTCACAAAAAGGTAGCGGCAAATATTGGCATACCTTACTTCTGTAGTAGTATGTATTTTCTTCGGGGTTTTTTTTTTCTCTAGAAACTGGTATTATATCAGTGACGCTTTAACCAGGCAAAGCAAAAGTACCTGATCTTGTAGATTGACGCTGGAACAGACATTGCACTCAAACTTCACACCAGACTAAAGAAGTTGTGTGCACGAAGGGAATGAACTGGATCCTCTCTCGGTCACCGAATAGGGAATCACGAGACCTCTCACCTGCATCCGGTTTGCAGTTGTGCGAAAGATTAGTGATAAACGCCGTGATATAAACAAACCGGCCCAGGAGTTTCGGGGCAGTCTCTCACACATCGGAGAAACATAATGTAAGGTCCATGCATAGGACCAGGGCCGCCGGTGGAAATTAACGAAATCACGGTTTAAATCAAATGTTAAGTAATTAAGATACACGCCTCTTGTAATCGACACAGCCACTTCATTACATAAATAAATAAATAAACAAAACAATATCGAATTTACTTATGAAAGGGAACTAAACATTATGTTTTCTCGGTATCACGATAATAATCCAAACGTCAATATATACGGAAAATCTACTAACAAACATGTTCTTGTAAACTACCCCTAATATGTCGTCAAATTCAGCTTAATCATAGATTTCTATTTAAGAACATTCAACATTTACAGCCCTCAATAGGAGAAAAGTACATTGAATATACATTTACTAGTACCAGTATTGCAAGTATATAATGTTAAGAGTAAAGTATCGCTGGCCACTCGTATTCGAGGATACCCGTCTACTAGTGCGGCTAGCCAATCCCTGTTGCTTGCTCAGGCGTATTTGTGTTTATTCAACACCTACAGAGCGCAGCTGCAACTATGCTGAGCAGACCTTATTTACGGTTTATGATCTCTTTCTGATTTTTAGCATCATCAACAATTAGAAAAAGACCATCACACTTAATCCCTCGGTCATGATGACTTCGTGCTAACACATCTATCGACGGCCCCCAAGGGTTCCGTCAAGCCCAATTTCACTCGCGAGGTTTGGGTCAACCAGTGGTATGATTTTCAGGCACTTCCTTAAGATGCTGGTCTCGACCCCTCCAGTCTGGCAAATCGACCATGGTGAGATTTGAACCCGGTTCTCATGGTCAGAATGAGAACATTCTAACCACTCGGCCACGCTAAGATTAACGCTTACGAAATCCACAATTTTTTTTTTTTTAATTATTTAAGAATTTATCCAATATTAATAAAAATTTAGCAGAACGACTTCAAAAACAGTGATTTACTTAAAGGGCAAAAAAGCAACATTAAAAAATAAGAATATAAATAATTAAAATCTGAAAGAATATACAGAATAGAAGGTTAAAAATATCATGTGAAATACAGAGTGAGGCAAAAGTCGCTCACCATAGAGGTTAATGTCTAGGTCGAAGAGGTCGTGTTAAGTGGCCATCGAGGTCACCAGATCTCACACCCTTGATTTGTTTCTGTTGTAAATAGTGTTTGCGTTTTGTTTTTTTGTTTTTTTTTTAAAAAGGAGCGTTTATTCCAAGCTCTTACATGCCACGCGCGACTTAAATTCGTGTGATCATCTTTCTATTTTTTATTTTGAAAAAAAAAAAACTTTCATCACTTCATGTTCGCTATTAATGTATGCTTGATGGTAGGTTGTGCCACTATAGGGCCTCTCGAAAAGCAAAAACAACACAAACATAATTTACAACGTAATAGTCAAAACACGAGGAAAACGTAACAACTCCAAGAACAAAGGTCCCTTGAAAATGGCTATAGAATTGGCCAAAAGCACTTGGAACAATACAAATTATGGACAACTTTTATATTCGTTAACTCCTAGAAAATGGGGAAATCTTAGGATGCTGGAAAAACTTAATAAAAATGTAGAAAATAAGAAAGAACTTGTTAGGTAAATAATCCCTAAATAAGTTCTTTAATATTTTTGTTTTTATTTTTAAAAAACAGTTCTCGATACAAAAGTAGACCTTAAATTATCATTTTAATTTTTTTAAATGAATCATATTTTTAAAAAAAATAATTATATATATATATATATATATATATATATATATATATATATATATATATATATATATGTATCTTCTCGCCATTTAAATCATTAAATTCTATATATGTTTTTTGTATGAATGATTCATGTAATGTAAATTAAACTGCATCACATACTTGATATATATATATATATGTGTGTGTGTGTGTGTGTGTGTGTGTGTGTGTGTATCATTGAGTCATTTCTGAGTTTATAACTGAAGAGTGCACTTGGCCCAAAATTGCATTTACTGATGGAAAAAGAAAATCCAGGTTTATTCTTGTCTAAAAAAATTGCTTTATTAGAATCGGTCTCAAAGTTGGTCGGCATTAATTTCGCTATTAAACCAACAAAATCACCTGTCCTCAATAAATATAATTTCCATAATAATAAATTATGCCGAATTTTTGAAAGTCCATTAAGTTCTTTATATAATAATAATAAAACAAAATAATACGTTAAAATTCCGGGAAGTTAATTTAATTTTTAGGCTAACAGAAATTCTACGAAAAAGCGCTCAACAGATAACTAGAGGCATAATAACAATAATTTCTCAACAGATAACTAGAGCTATAATAATAAGAATTCAAGGGATTTATTTGACTGACCGACTCAAGAGTTTCGCGTCGAAACGCTCACCAAGGAGAGGTGTTCGATAAATCTTTATAAATATTTCGATAAAAAAATATAAATAGAAGGAACTGCTAGAGTAGAACTGGCGGTTGAATTTAACTATTTCAGCAGTACAAGGGTGGGACCTAGATGCCAATCTAGTAGCCCGCTTAAATTCATGCAGTTGGTTACCATGAAAATATTTGTAGACAGATCGGTAGGAAAGTAACTGAAGTCAAGATGCCTGGTCAGGATTGATTAAATTACAAATCCTTTGAATTTTGTCCAGCATCTCAAGATGAACAGCAGGAGCAGCAGACCAGATATGGCAACAGCATTTAATGCACAGAAGAGTGTCGGCTTATAAATATACAAGATGAATTTTGACGAACCACTTTTCCTTGCAGTAAACGAAGCAATTTATAAGGTACTTTCGACTGTCTCAGTATCGATAATCTTAAAGAAGCATTTGGTGTCTGTGTGATAGGCAAGATCCTATTGGTATCGGTCTGGTATTTAAAAAGCTGAAAGTTTAAAATAGTCCATATGTAAAGGGGTCGAGATTGACAGAGAGTAAAAGAGACTGAAAGAGAAAAACAAATCAACAGAGAATAAGTGGTGAGAAAGAAAGTAAGGCTCACAAAGGGAAAGACAAATTTTCTGAAAAAGAAATATGAACTTTATCAAGGGCAGGCACCAAAATAGATAAAGAGATAAGAACATACTGAGATAGATAGATAGATAGATAGAATACTAAAATCCAAAGTTATATCTTTCTACAAACAGTTTCACACACCCCAAACACAGGCAAAAATACGCACATCTATATAATTAATAGATAAATAAAAGTTCAAAAGACTTATCTTTCGACTTCAAGTTTCGCAGGTGCAGCCCCCGTCAGGGGAAGATAAATCTATTTTTTAAGTTTTTATTTATCTATTAAATATTTTCGGTCTATTTTATAATAGTGAGAACTTTATTGGCAAGAAAACTTCTCCCATTTAAATTCGTTAAACTTCATGTAATTTAATGACTAACGTGTTTTGTTAGATGTCAACGATTTTTTTCCTAGTTTTTTTCTTATTCAATCCATTTATTAAGGTCTCTACATTAGGCATGCAACAATAACTAAGTTTTACATTTTTTTTATTGAATATTTTATGTAACTCAGTTTTTTGGGAAATGTTGCTCTAATAAGTCAAAAAATTATTTTGCCAATTTTTGTTTTTACCGCTAAATTAAATGGAGAGTTAAACCATAAAATCTTTCTCTGCCTATTGTTACGTTTATTCTGAGTACTATTATGGTTATTTATATTAGTATATTCCAATTTATTTTTATATCCACTCTTAGATAGGGCTTCCTCATAACTTGTTTTATTGGCCTCAAAAATGGTTTCTTTCGTCACATGGTATAATTTTGGCTATCGCCTATAAATATGCGTTTCCCTTTGCCTCTTTAGCCAACTTTCCCTGACGATCCGTTTAGGTGAAACCTAGGTAGGTTTGTCTGGCTCACTAGGTTTATTTATATATATATATATATATATATATATATATAGATAATCATCATATTGTTAAATATATAAGAGTAATATATACAGTACTAATATATAAATGTAGTATATATGTAAATGTATCATATATACGTTAACAACTTTAATATATATATATATATATATATATATATATATATATATATATATATATATATATATATATATATATATATATAGACACCCACAGACAGACTGTCTAATAAAAAATCAGTCAGAGCCTCATCTTATATATATATATATATATATATATATATATATATATATATATATATATATATATATATATATGTATGTATGTGTGTGTGTGTGTGAAAAAGAGAGAGAGAAGAGAGAGAGAGAGAGAGAGAAAGTGTGTGTGTGTTCGCGTGTGGTCGAATTGAGCATTTTCTTTTTTATCCCTGGGGACAAGGTTTCAAATTTCATCATGGTAACTGATGTTATCCTATGGAGGAGAACCCATCGTATGGCACCATTGGAAAATCAGGTATCTGAAAACTCTAGTACGTGTTGACTCAAACTTTGTCAGTGAGACTGAGAAGATGATAATGTTTCTCGATGGTTATCCTAGCCCGAACTCACAAGTCATCGTGACCGAGCCCTTGAGCATAGAGATCTTGTTCAATTTATCGATCATATCAGAACCTGGGGTCCCTCTCCCAGAAACTCTAATATCCGCTCAGCAGTTTCAGTATAAACCACAGATTTGGAGGTGTTGAACAAAAGTGCCTCAGCAGGCGTCTGCAACAGGGAGTAGCTTGCCGCCCTAACAGACAAGCATACTGCAAAACTAGCGGCTATTATTATTATAAATGTGTGTAAGGGAATGTGGATAGCGGCTCGGATTGAGGAATCGGAGAGCCGAGTTCGAATTCCAGTCGAATCCATTACATTCACTGACGTGCTAATAATCATTGGAAAGGTATGAATCCTCTTCTTCTCAAGCTAGCAGGACAGATCGGGTTCTATAGCCTTAGATGGCAATTGGTCTACCACAGAAAGAAACGGCAACCTATTGCGGGAATAAAATCTGCCTCGTTAGTCATGTATCGAAACATACATGATCGCCTACGCGTGTATCATGCATGGCTCACAACTGATGTATGTATATATGCGCACTTGTGTTTGTGTGTAGATACTTAGCGGTTACACTTCTGGATATTTTGGTAGATTCTCTCTCTATATATGTACTTATTTTCACCTACACGCACGTATTTAACTGTACAAAGACGAATATGTCTGTAACTATGGTTGGATAAAATTAAGAATCAAGCTCGCCCTCTTACGGTGGAACGTGACAGTTAAACGGATTTCTTAAAAGCTGAATAGTGCGTGAAGATATCGTTACGTGATTGGTTCGTTTGGATTTCTCGATGGCAGATCGAGAGGAAATCGACATTAGCCGCGAGTGACAAACTGCCAAATCGTTAAGGATCAGGACTGGCCCTTCTGAACTGATTCCAAAAGAGAATCCGAAAGAAACAAAACAAGATTATTCTTTCTGTTAGAACTGGATAATCAGCTCCAAAACGCTATCGGTAACTATATTTTGGTTAGCTCTAGCCAAACCAAAACGAGAAACAAAAATGGAGGAATTTCAAGCTAAAGTTTCAAGCAAAAAAAAAAAAAAAAAAAAATGAAGTGTTCGTTAACAAACTTTTCTTGATTGCTTCAATATTGTATCTTTAGTTATCTATTGAGCGCTTTTTGGTAGAAGTTCTGCTAGCCAGAAAAATACGTTTGAGATCCGGCGGAAGTTAGGAGAGTGCGACGGTACGCAATCGCAGAGTCAGTTAATTTGAAATGTGAGAAGAGAACAAGGCTCGTAAACAGAGTTTATTGCAGCTATTAAACTGAAGTAAAAGTAGTAGTAATAGTTGTAGTAATAGTAACAGCGTTAATTGTAGTCATAGTAGAAAATGAAATTATTAACAGAAGCTTGTATATGCGATTAAATATAACTTAATTCGGTTTTAAATCAAAACAATAAAAAGTCTTATGCTTTTGACTTTATATTATATTATCATATACTGAATATTGTTCGATGATATTGGAATTGAGAACCAGCAAAGATCGATATTAGAGACATAAAAAAATAGTTTATTTAATAATAATGATAATGCCAAGATGCCTGGCTGGTTGTTTCATTTTAAGTTTCAAGAAGGAAACAGCCAAGATGATTTGGGAGTCACATCTTTATACTTGAGAACATTCTCAATAGGAGACCATTTCACTGGAATGAGTTACCTGAACTATTAACTAGGCCCAACCTACCATGTACGTTTGTATCAAAGCTTATCACTATAAGACGCTCATTTGAGTGTGATGCAGGTGTTGTCTATACTCTTATCAGACTGGATTTGAACACCCCGTCATAGACTAATGGTTAATAAATTTGACTAGCTAATTTAATTACGACGGAGTAATGATTTCGACCCTCACTGAGTGCTCCATACTTTTGGCCTTGTGCCACATCTAACTTACACTTAAAAATTACCTTATCAGACTGGGTGACATGATGGGTATATTGGGATTTGTAGATTTTTACCCCAGACTCAGTTGTTTTTTTTTTTGGGTGGGGTGCTATACTCACACTCAGTAATAATAATAATGATAATAGATGTTCATCTCTTTTCATGGAAGAGAGCATCTGGGAAGCACCATGGCCGAGTGTCGAGAGTTTTTTAAGTTTGAATAATGAGGCAGCCAAGGCGACTTGGGAGTCATTTCGGAGACCTTTTGAGCGAACTGGGTCACTCTTACTGACGGTATGTCTAACTAGGTCCCGCCTGAAACATTGAGCTGCTTTTACGAAGACTTGTAACCTAGGTAAGGTTACTGAATAGAATAATCACACGAAGGTTGGTAATGAACGATAATACTTAGAACAAGAACAACACATAAAAGATTCGCCAGCGGCGCGTAGAAGAAGTAGTCAACTGCTAGAAGTGATTCAAGTGAATTTCACAATGAATCTCCAACTCTAGGATATCTACCAACCGCTCTACGCGGTCAGATGTGACACAAGACCGAATTTAATGTGGGGTATCCGAGCCCGTTGGCTAAGCCAAAAATTCCCCGTAGACCCTGTAAAAAACGGGGTCGAATAGCTGTCTCTCGAGACGAGACTCTGACTTTCGACATAGGCTAGTGTGGGGATCCTGTCTTCTCGGTGGCAGAGAGTTTGACCAGCACAGCTGGAGACAAATCTCCATCTCTAGACCAACATACAGTATTTACTACTCTATTTATGTGAATGGGGACATACCCATTATCGTCCGTAGGTATGCTACAAAAAAAACCTATCACTATATCGCGCACATTTGAGCATGGGGCATTTTTATCATTTCACCCCTAGTATGGTTATAATACCTGTAGGTCGCGGGGGATTACAGGGAGTGAAAGTGAATGAGATGACGTCAGTGGGAAAGTGTCTGAAGTCGAGATGCCAGGTTAGGATCGATTACATTACAGACCCTTCCTTGAATTTTTTCAAGAATCCCGTGATATATAATAGGAGCAAATATGGCAGCAGAATTCAGTGCACGGACATATCTTCTTCGTTATGTACCGTGTCCCCTCAGGACGTAAGCGGTCAGGTCCATCCACCATTATCTGTCCTTCGAAGCTCTTAATAAATGTTGTCTTTTTGTTATGACTCCGAAACCTTTTTCCGCCATTTATTTTTCTCAAACTCGCTAAGTAATTTATGTCTTGTTTTCCTCTATCTCGTATGCCATCAATCTTTCTTTTGAGTGTCTTATTTTCCAAGCCCTCTTTTCTCATGCCCTGGAAATTTCAACTGGCCCTTTCCCTTGTTAAGTATAAGTGTGTACTAAGCATTAGCAAAATTCTTCCATGTGCCGCGTCTCTTCAGGACGTTGACGATCATGGCTCTCCACAATTTCCTGTCCTTCGTAGCTCTTCATAAATGTTCTCTTTATGTTATGTCTCCTAAACATTGTCCCTCCATCCATTTACTCAAACCCGATAAGTAGGTTATGTGCCATTTTCTTCTACGCATCTTTCCATCAATCTGTCCTCTGGGTATCTGCTTTTCCAAGCCTTCTTTCCTCATTATGTACCCTTGAAATGTTAACTGTCTCTTTCTCATGTTACAAAAAAGTTTCCTTTTTGTTTCCATTTTCTCTAAAACTCTGTCGTTGCTCACATATTTGATCCATGGTATCCTCAGCATACTTCTGTAGAACCACATTTCTGTTGCTTTAAGTCTCTTCATCATCTTTAAAGGGATTGTCTAGCATCCATTGCGAGGAGAACTGTCTGGCACAACAGAGTGATCTAACCAGCAGTAGACTTAACAAGTGAATTTAAGATAAATCCTCCACTTCATTCCAGTGGAAAATGTCTTTCCAAGAGGACGCAAAGTGTTGCTCTACTAGAGATTAGCATCAGCCACGATGATGAAAGATGGATGTGCCTGATATATTCTTATCAAGGCGACTGTCATTAATGTTGTATTAAGCTGCGTATATTTCCTTTGTTGCCATGTTGCTCTTTCAACCATACATATTTTTTGCCAAAACAAGCCATGAGAAAAACTGAATAAGAAAATGTAAGGAATATGCTCTTCTTATTCAAAGTATAAAAAAGATATTTTTTCAAATCATCTTTTTGTTCCCTTTTAATTTAATTCTTTTTTACGATTCATATTAGAAAAATTTAATCGGACAAGAAAGGAATGTGCCATGTAATTTTTAAAAATGTGGAAAGAAAAGTGATGTTTTTTAGAGGCTATCATTCCAGCAAGAAGCCATTTTCATATATTTTTCCAAGTGACGAGTCTAATTAAAATCAAAGAAACATTTTTTTTATTATTATTTTATATACTCTGAATAGATTATCTGCACTTAATGTTATCGAAGACTTGGAAAGATGAGTTAAAAGTACATTTACTTTAATTTTAACAACTTATTTCCATTTACAAATCTTGAAAATATTAAAATTAAAATGTAGAATTTTTTCAAAGTATTAAGACCTTTTAATTTAATTTTGTTTTCTTTTAAGTCGAAATGTTGGTTAAAACAGAAGAGTATATATATATATATATATATATATATATATATATATATATATATATATATAATATTACATTATAATTTCCCATTATGAAATGGACAAAGTCCGACAATTATTTTAAGATATTTTTTTTATGTTTATACATTCTTTTTATAGATACAAATATTTAAGTAAATACTCTGTTTATAATAAACAGTATTCATAACATTTACCGGCCTGAATGTCCGAAAATATTCGTCCTCCGACAGGAATCGAACCTGTAGGAGGACGAATACCATGAGAAAGAGACGGTTAACATTTCAAGGGCACATAATGAGGAAAGAAGGCTTGGAAAATCGGAACCGTCATATAGTCTACAAAAAGAAAATGTATAAACATAAAAATGTCTTAAAATAATTGTCGGACTTTTTATATATATATATATATATATATATATATATATATATATATATATATATATATATAAAAATTATGTTCATGCTATACAAGGCCCAAGAGGCACTCAAAGTAGGGCTTACAGTGTAACGGACATCATCCCAAGCAACGTAGCAATGATACCGAGACGCAAGGAAACATTTATTCCTTTCTGAAATGGCAGGTTGGGTTCAGTTAATAGTTCAGGTAACTCATTCCAGTGAAATGGTCTCCTATTGAGAATGTTCCTAAGTATCGAGATGTGACTCCCAAGTCGTCTTGGCTGCTTCATTCTTGAAACTTAAAATGAAAGAACCAACTAGACACCTGGCCTTGGCATTACCATTATTATTAAATAACCTAACCAAATGAGAAGGAAAAGCCTCTATGTTTGTCCAACACCCACAGATCTCACTTGTGGTTTATACTGCAATTATGCTGAGCGCATCTTAGTTACAATTTCTGAGAGAAAGGGCATAATCTGTTATGGTCAGCTGTTTAAAAAACGTTCAAACCCTCGGTGTCAATGACTTGTGATTTGGTATTAGCACAACCATCGACGCCTGCCAGATAGATACAGCAATTTTCACTCAGAAGGCTTGAGTCAGCCCGTGGTATGACTTTCAAAGGTATCGCACGCTTACACAGTCCAATAACATCAAGAAATCATAAATTGCCCATGGTATGATTCGAACGCTGGTTTCATAGTTAGAAATCGAACGTAGTAAGAAAAACGGGAAGGAAAACCGAACTAACATCGGAAAAAGAAAGAAAGAAAGAAAGAAGTGGGGAAAATGACTGAAAAGGAAAGAAAATCGTGCTTTTGGTAAAAAAAAGAAAGGCAAAGAAAAAATATGAAGGAAGTATGGAAAGAATGAAAAGTAGAAAAAGACACAATGGATAAAAGAAAGAAAGAAAGAAAGAAAGAAAGAAAGGCGAAAAGAAAGTAGAGAGAGTACAGAAGAAAGTAATAAAAAGTTAGTAAAAATAAAATGATACAATGAAAGAAAAAAAAGCTAAAAAACAAAATTAAATGTAGACAAAATGAACGCTGAATTGGTGAGAGTTGATCCGGGCAATATACAAACCTGAAGATTAATCATTTCATGTATAGTTGGAAAGTGTCGAACTGAGCGTGTTATGAATTGTCTTAAGTAAGCCAAAATGTCACCTATTCACCCTGCTTCTGCTCCTCATCATTCAATCTGACTAAAGAATGTAAGATTCCATGTTTCAGACGGAACATCTAGAGTTTGGGTGACCGAAATGAGGATGTGTGCTCGAAATTGGCATTTATGTTCAAACTCGATTTTCAATCCTTCCCGGCCATTTCCCCCTTCGAAGCAAGTCAAAGAATTCAGAGATTAAGACATGTCTATTTTGAAAACAGAATGCCATTTTGCTAAGACTGCCAAGTTCGAAACAGTTGCCAGAGTAACTTAACATTACGTTATGTTGAGTTATTAGACATGATTGATTGACTGATTCGTTTTTACGGTTTATCAACCCTTTGCATGCTATTTAAAACCAGAACATATTTATAGTTTGTAAGAATTTTTTGGTAAGCATAATACTGATTTAGTGATACAATTCTCATTATTTAATACGTGGTGGTTTCATGCCTTTCCCAACGCAATTGTATGTCTTCAAAGAACAAACAAAATGTATTGTTGGTCCTTTTGCTATAAAATCTATTGTTGGTACTTCTACTATAAAATGTATTACTGGTTATTTTATTTTAGAAATTGTTGATAATTTTACTATAAATATGTATTGCTGGTTATGTTTTCAAATAAAATGTTTTTTATACATATATAATGTTTTGTTGTTGTTTAGGGGTTAATAATTTGCCCATAGCTGGGACCCTAACAGGTGCTACCACACTGGGTTAGGGTGGACCTGGGAACAATAGCAATTAAGAGGTAGTTTCATGCTTCTCAAAACCTTTAATCACCCAATCAGATGCATTGCTGCTGGATGCAGTTTATCGTCATACCTAGGAAAATTTAACGTTCATATTTAAAAAAAAATAAAGACGACTTCTTCAAAAGTCAACTAAACCTTAGAAATAAAGCATATAAAAATCACTTGATGCTAAAGAAAAGATCTCGGAGATATGAGATAAATAACAAAAAATAAATTTAAAATCATTAACATTGTATCTTACCAGTTATGAGATAAGCAGCAGCTTTGATTGAAGTACTACCTACCCTAAGGTGGTAGTCAGTCTAGTAGAAAGCCAACACTAAATTGCGAACAGTGAAAAGGTAACTGGAAACTCCTCCAGTATCTTTGTCAGTGATTCAAAAACGTTTCATAGATAATAAAGAAAATGAACCTGTGTAGAGCCATGATCACCATCGTCGTGAAGGAACGTGGCATTAAAAACAAAAGAAAAAAAAACAAAAGAAAAAGAAAAAAAGAATCTATTGAACTATCTCTTCACTAAAGAACAGATTTACTAAAACGAAAGTTAAAATTCCTTCTAGATTATCGAGTATGAATGAGTCCGAAGGAAGGCCTGAAGATATATCGGCTGAAATGCTGCAGAAAAAAAAAATTAAAGTTAGCACACCGGAAGAATTACTTCAGAACAACCACAGCTCGTCTCAAAAATTCAGTCAGAGATTTATCGAAATTGCAAAAATAATTTTGAACTGACGCCCAAAAAATAAATAAATAAATACATGAGAAACTGTATTTCTGTTAGTTTTCCTTTAAGAAGTGGGGCGGATGCAACCATTTTGTTTTCTGTTTTTCCTTCCTCCTCCCCCGTGCATCGTCAGGCGCAGGTTTCTGAGATTCCAAATACTCGCAGAGGCAATGACAGAATCAGGAAATACAAATATATAACATTCTTTTCTATGACGTCAGCCAGTAATGTGCTGTTCGCGTCACATGCCTACGTAAAGACAAACGCATTCCTATGCACCAACACATGCACGCACACAACGATGCGATTGATCGACTTTTTGTAGGTCATTATTCATTTTGCGTAAATCCAAATCTCACGCCGTCTCGTCTGGATACCGTGGGATGGACTTCAATGCGAGATCTGCGCGCGAGATGTTGTCACTGTTTTTAAAAAAAAGTAGGCATTTGGCATTCTAAAACTAACTGTTAATCCTTGCACAGCTTTTATCATAAAGGCTTCTTTTGGCAGCACAGATATATTTGAATTGTAAAAAAAAAAAATATCTATCTATATAAAGAAAATATTTTGACGATTTATATTCTATGAATGAAATCCCAAATCTCAAATAAAAATAAGATCAGTACAATCCAATTACGAGTGAGTAGTTAGTACGATTCTCACTAGGTGCTCCATATTTTTAGTCTTGTGCCACGTCTAAGCTGAACTTACTAACTTGGCATAATATCAGTAAGTTATGTCTCTTTTTATTTGTGTGCATTTTTTTCTATATCCACGCGTATATGTAGACCAAGTCCTAAATAAACGAGACAGTTTCCATTTGATAAATTATCAATACGTATATTATCGAACAAGTACTATTAATGCAAGTGTTATTCGAAGGCGTCTGACACCAGTATTGTTCAACGGCGTTACTATAGTTATATCTGCGATTTCAAAGTCTCTACTACAACGACCATTACGAAAGTGACGACGAGTATCCGTTGACATTACAAAAATGTCAACGAGTCTTCATTGACATCACAATACATACATACATACATACATACACATACACACACACACACACACACACACACACATATATATATATATATATATATATATATATATATATATATATATATATAGGATGCTAGTGTATCAATTTCAGTGTTAATTAAAAGACTATGTTACTTGAAATCAATTATTTATATCGGTCATACCACCTCATCCTTAAGTAGTCTCCACACGTGTCACTTACCTAATCAAAGTACCATAAAAAGGCATATAGCCGCCCATATACAACCAGCCATTAGGAAGTTTTTTAGGTGCATCTCGACGTGGTCTAATGGTTAGCCAGCTTGTCTTGCTAGAACAATTACGCCTAAATAGTGAGTTCGATCCTCACTCGAGGCCACATACTTTTGGCCATGTGCTACATCTAAGCTACCCTTAAAAAATCACCATAAGGATGATTCTGGTCGATAACACTAGCATCCTATATAAAACCGTTACCAAAAAGATATCGCCGTGAGAGAGGCCCTTTACATAAAACATCTGGCATCCACAATGAATACCACCTTACTCAGCAGCGGAAATGGTGTGGTGAAGGTTTTTATTTTAAAAAAAGAAGACTCAATTCTAATCATACTCAACTCGCAAAGCTCGGAATGAACCCAGCTACTACATAAACCGCACAAAAACTACAGCTTAAACAACCATAAAAAGAAACAATATCGCCCATCACCCTTGAAAATGACTAAAGAATTATCTGAAAGCGCTTGGGACAACAGACAATACGGACAATTTTTGCACACCCTTACTCCCACCAAAGGGAAGAATGTAAGAATGTTGGAAAATATATTTGCGATTGTCTGAAACCATATCGTCTCCATGTATTTGCCATCATGGCTCTCCCCCCAGCATTTTATCCTTTGTAGCTCTATTAATTTTTTTTGACAGTTCCTCCCAGTCCATGTACTGCCATAAATTTGTACAAGCTTGTTACATAGGGTACTCGCTGTTTTCCTCCTGTCGTCAATACGTGCTATTAATTTTTTTTGACAGTTCCTCCCAGTCCATGTACTGCCATAAATTTGTACAAGCTTGTTACATAGGGTACTCGCTGTTTTCCTCCTGTCGTCAATACGTGCTATTAATTTTTTTGACAGTTCCTCCCAGTCCATGTACTGCCATAAATTTGTACAAGCTTGTTACATAGGGTACTCGCTGTTTTCCTCCTGTCGTCAATACGTGCTATTAATTTTTTTGACAGTTCCTCCCAGTCCATGTACTGCCATAAATTTGTACAAGCTTGTTACATAGGGTACTCGCTGTTTTCCTCCTGTCGTCAATACGTGCTATTAATTTTTTTTGACAGTTCCTCCCAGTCCATGTACTGCCATAAATTTGTACAAGCTTGTTACATAGGGTACTCGCTGTTTTCCTCCTGTCGTCAATACGTGCTATTAATTTTTTGACAGTTCCTCCCAGTCCATGTACTGCCATAAATTTGTACAAGCTTGTTACATAGGGTACTCGCTGTTTTCCTCCTGTCGTCAATACGTGCTATTAATTTTTTGACAGTTCCTCCCAGTCCATGTACTGCCATAAATTTGTACAAGCTTGTTACATAGGGTACTCGCTGTTTTCCTCCTGTCGTCAATACGTGCTATTAATTTTTTTGACAGTTCCTCCCAGTCCATGTACTGCCATAAATTTGTACAAGCTTGTTACATAGGGTACTCGCTGTTTTCCTCCTGTCGTCAATACGTGCTATTAATTTTTTTGACAGTTCCTCCCAGTCCATGTACTGCCATAAATTTGTACAAGCTTGTTACATAGGGTACTCGCTGTTTTCCTCCTGTCGTCAATACGTGCTATAAGCGATAACTTCTCAAAACAATGTTTCCTAGTAATTTCGACTGTCTCTTCCTGATTCTTAGAATGTGTCCTTTTTTTTTGTTTCCATTTTCCTTAAAACTTCCTTCTTACTCACATGTTCTGTCCATGGTATTTTCAACATGCTTCTTTCGAGCTGCATTCACTTCCATATCAGCACTCTCTCTTCTTGGCTTCTGATGACTTTTTCCTGCTTCTTAATACTTTGCTAAGCTTTTGGAAGGCACCTATTCCAATGCCACTTTGAATTTTGTTGTCACATTTTTCGTTGTCTGTTAAAGCACTTTAGATATTTTGTAGCTCGGCTCTTGCGATCTTATACTATTTTTCTAAACATAAATACCTATGATAAAGCTGTACATTGCTGATATCTCCTGACGAATGGCCGGAGCGATTGCTAGAGGGTCCAGCTATGAAACTCTAGAATCGAGATGCTGAAGACCACATCAATCAGCTGAAAAAAATTGTATGAATCATTCA